AGACACAACAGTCCTTTAATCCCTATCTTTGTTAGACACAACAGTCCTTTAATTCGTATCTTTGTTAGACACAACAGTCCTTTGATCCCTTTCTTTGTTAGACACAACATTCCTTCAATTCCTATCTTTGTTAGACACAACAGTCCTTCAATTCCTATCTTTGTTAGAAACAACAGTCTTTCAATCCCTATCTTTACTTCTAACCGTATCTTATTGCTTCCTTTTTAAAATGAAATCAAAATAAAGTAAGAAAACAAATCAGGCACATATACAGTGTATATTAAGAAAATTAAAATACTGACATGATAAAATCTAAAACTCGATATTAAAACAACAGTAGGTAACGAAAACGAAAGTATCGATTTGGTTTGGTTTAGTTTCATTTTGTTTAACGTCCTATTAACAGCTTAGGACATGTGTTTGTTGTGTATGAGATCATGTGTGTATGTGTGCTGGAGACAGGGTATGTTGGTGTATTTGCCTCCTTGCGATAGCGCGGATCTGATGCCGACTTCAAAGTGCTATCTCACTGAAATACCATGCCGAAGACACCCAGCACAGCATTCCACCTAGTAATAGTATACTGACAACGAGGAGACATAAAAAACAAAAGCAAGAACGTAACAAAGGGAAACAAAAGTGAAAGGAAAGACATCACCAAACACTAACACACAATTAGATGTCCCAGTAACAGTTATCATATCTACACAACCCTTAGTAGGTACAATAACACAACAGAGGGAACCCCAAACCTTAGTAGGTACAATAACACAACAGAGGGAACTCCAAACCTTAGTAGGTACAATAACACAACAGAGGGAACTCCAATCATTAGTAGGTACAATAACACAGGAGAGGGAACTCCAAACCTTAGTAGGTACAATAACACAGCAGAGGGAACTCCAAACCTTAGTAGTTACAATAACACAGCAGAGAGAACTCCAAACCTTAGTAGGTACAATAACACAGCAGAGGGAACTCGTAACCTTAGTAGGTACAAAAACACAACAGAGGGAACTCCAATCCTTAGTAGGTACAATAACACAACAGAGTGAATTCCAAACCTTAGTAGGTACAATAACACAGCATAGGGAACTCCAAACCTTAGTAGGTACAATAACACATCAGAGGGAATTCCAAACCTTAGTAGGTACAAAAACACAACAGAGGGAACGCCAAACCTTAGTAGGTACAATAACACAGTAGAGGGAACTCCAAACCTTAGTAGTTACAATACCACAGCAGAGAGAACTCCAAACCTTAGTAGGCACAATAACACAACAGAGGAAACTCCAAACCTTAGTAGGTACAATAACACAGCAGAGGGAACTCCAAACCTTAGTAGGTAGAATAACACAACAGAGGGAATTCCAATCATTCGTAGGTACAATAACACAACAGAGGGAACTCCAAACCTTAGTAGGTACAAAAACACAACAGAGGGAACTCCAAACCTTAGTAGGTACAAAAACACAACAGAGGGAACTCCAAACCTTAGTAGGCACAATAACACAACAGAGGAAACTCCAAACCTTAGTAGGTACAATAACACAGCAGAGGGAACTCCAAACCTTAGTAGGTACAATAACACAACACAGGGAACTCCAAAACAATAGCGTCATGATGAACAACAAAATTCAGATTATTATATAATAAAATATCATATAATATCATATAAAAAATACAGATTAATGACGATTGAGACGCTGCACAAAACAGACACAGAAATAACAAATTCAAATGACCATATCAACCATCATTAAATTATTTCAAATCATTGGCTATCTAAGGTTATCAACGAGAGCCTTGATGTGATGGTTGATAATGTTTATTAGTGTTATCTCTGTTCATAATACAACTGTGATAACAGCTAGATGTGTGATCCTCTAGTGTTATCCTCTAGCCGGCCAATCCTTGTAATTAAAGTGCATACCAGATCGCATTCTATCATCATTCTCATGAAATCCCGTCAGCAAGGTAATATGGTATCAGGTAGTTATTAATACGAAATGCTCACTGGGATACAAAATCAAATGTTCGGTAAATTCATGGGAACTCGGTAAGTACAAGATTAATATTCAATGAGGTCGAACTTATTGTATGTCCAGCTACCTTGAAAAGGTCGCTGATGTGTAGTTCATGGGGTGGTAAAAGTGAAATACACCGGCAAAAATTGATATTATACCTCAAAGGGCAAATTTGTTAGCATACTTCAAGGTAGTTCTTACATTAACGCAGAACTGCAGCTACCATGGAGATCGGTAGTTGAGATTTAAGTCGCTGAATACTTACTTGTAATGACGCTTAAGAACGCCATAGACACAGGGATCGGGAACAAGCACGGGAAGGAAGTAGTCAGCCGTCAATCCGGTTGCAATTGGTAGCAGAGAATATGGTGGAAATATCATAGGGAACACAGTCGCGAAAATGTGAGAAGTCAACCTTTTGCCTGCTCACATTTTAATTAGTGGGAGAGGAAGAACGCACAAGATATATGGCAAGAAGCACAGAACGATATCAGAAGGATTGAGGAGGAGAGGAAATTCTTTAGAACTCAGCAAGTGGAATGCGTGGACGAGGTGGAACCTCCCGGAACGGAAGATGGCATTGGATGATAAGTGGAGGATGGAGCCCTTCCAGACATCTCCTTTAACGCGATCTGCATACGCCACGCTACCATTTTCTGTTTTTCTATACCATCGATATAAGGATACTTACTGCAAAGTGTGCGGAGAGAGAAATATTGTTAGACAAATCGTCTGGGCAAATTAGCATTAAGGCTGTTGTAGACACAAATGAATATAAGGCAACGTATTACGGGTCTTAATAGATATCCTCGAAGAGAAGACAAATAAAACAAGGAACTGGGGTAAGAGCGGAGCATTCTGAGATTAATGTCAGAAATGCATTGACTCTCCTCATACAATTTGGTCGGTCACAAACTTGGAAGATGAAGCCAGACCTTGTGAGAAAGATTGTGTGTACAGGCATTGTGGAAACAACGTATAGGGCTGACAATCCAAGCCAGCCAAACACCTCATCGCCATATAACTAGCTCATTGTACCGCGAGAGGAAGGGTACGAGAAAACTCATGATAGGTAGAAAGCTACGCATGATTAGTTGATGGAGAACTGCAAGAGCAGGGGTTTGAATACTGGCTCCTTCCAGTTGAGTTTCATTGCATAGGTTTTCCACCAATGGTGTATAAGTATGTAAGACATTGCAGTCAACATTACCCACTTGGAGAGAGTAACAGCCACCAGACGACTTGGAGAAGCTGAACAGAAAGCATCACGCTGGCTGTGTCGTTCGACTGGAACAGATCTTGTGTATAATATATAAATAACACAGATAGAAGTGAAGAAGGCTTGCTAACACCTGTGGACGACAACTGAGGTTTCCCAAAAACAACAACAATGAGTGACTACCACTCGTCACAAACTACTCATCTACCATCATCTACCACAAACTACACATCTACCATCATCTACCACAAACTACACATCTACCATCATCTACCACAAACTACACATCTACCATCATCTACCACAAACTACACATCTACCATCATCTGCAAACAGCACAAACTAAACTTACATACCTTGTTTGGCAGAAAATTATATCAATTTCGAACGTGATGATCATAACGGTTCACTATGGTTGATCATACGATGTAGAATATGAAAATTATTATAGTGCCATACGGTTGTCCAATCGACTTTTTTCAAAGTTTGAATTTTAGAGACAAGTTGATTCAAAAGAAGAAAGGAAAATGCTGAAAACGATGATTACGTAAATTATTAATATAAGTGATCCAGAAGGATTCGATCTATCATCACACAACGCCCGGTGTATCACCCTAGAACACACATTACCTCAAGGCCATTGTGTCGACTTTACTGTGTTTTTTTTACAATTTTATTTATTTATAAGCCTTTGATGTATTTTCTACCAAATTGATTTTTGTAAGTTTTAATTTTCCTTTCTGAACATTTCACTTTGCTCCCCCCGTTGATAGCTGATCATGTGCGTTCTGTGTAATTAAATGTAATATCCACAAAGAGTTATTTTCAGTTGCGCTAGTACCTACAAGGTTGCGCGTAAAGCCCTAGTAATCCCTTCAAGGTCACACGTGTCAATCAACAAGAATGGCAAGCTTCACCGACAACAACACAAACTTAACATTGTCAACATAACGGTCGGTGTTTATTATTTCATCAGATTTTCGTCTCCTTGTTGTTATTTTAAATACCTGTACTGACATTTATCCTGTCGGCATCCCAATACCTGTGACATTGTAATGCTATAATGCTACCCGATAAAAGGCACAAGGCTTTATCTAACGGGCGCCCAGGTGGTTTTATAGAGTAGGTAGTGACATAGCTGTGAACCTTTTCTTAAGTGATCATGTTGTCGTTTTCTGCTCGAAATACCGTGCTTTATGTTCTTAAGTAGCTGTGACCTTGGAGGGGTACACACGAAATCGGATCCGGGGCAAACTCTGACACGGGGAGGGGGAGGCGCGGAGGGGGAGACGCAACCGACCTGGAAAGGTAAAAGTTAGACCTAGTCCGTAAAACACTTATCACTTTTTACGTAGTTCTGAAATGGGCTAGGTTAGAAGACATAATGTAGACCTTTTATTTGCAGCATAAGGACGCACTCTGAAAGTACTGGATCTTCAAATCCAGCTGAAATGATTACTGCATACTGAAAAAACTTAGTTGATTCACAGATAGTGTATGATTTGATGAATGTGGTGACGTGAGATTGACTTGGGTACACTGACGATACACACGTCTATACATACAGGTCTGTAAACACCAGCTTTAGTACCATGTGGTAGTTCTGGTTACTTTCAAACGAGTTTATTTTTATTAATGGCTAGGCACGCGTTCAGAGGTGTATTTTTAAGTGTTCACTTTCCGGAATGGTACACTTCGTTAATTACACTCGCTCTGATTGGCTGAGTGATTTTGATTGACATACTAACATCCGTTTATCTGCTACATAGAGAAAGTCCACATTTTACGGTATTTAAAGCGCCGCACAACCTCAGTTTAAATATAACTTGGAAGCGCTCTCTTCGACGTTCAAAAACTTTGCCAAACTGTTCGGTACACGTTGATCAGCTGTTGAGCTGTTTACATGTGTATGTATATTAGTGTACGCGTGTCACGTGGAGAGGTATTTAACTCCCTTACTATACGAGTTAGACGGTACCAGCTCACAACACTGGTATACATTGGTGTAGAACGCTCATATAACACCTCTTGTACAAACTTGTGACTGAAAAAACGGAGAATTCATAAAAATTGCAATTATGGACTTTAAAGTTGTTTTCTGGATTGGTTTCCTGTCCACGTGCATGGTAACGTCAACAGGTAAATATTTCTGTTTACACGCCTTATCACTCAGTCGTTAACATGTGTCATTTCATTCATACTTGAAGTGACGAAACAGCTCGCACTTTGATTTTTTTTTCCAGTTTGGCAATTGTTTTAGTTTTTTGGTTTTGTTGTTTTATGTTTTATATCTACAGAGGCTCGTGTTTAATAGAGTTTGAAGTGTTTCATATATATACATATATAATGTTAATAAATCAAACGGAAACATGCCGAATAATAGAAGCACTCGTGATTAGTATACCTAGACAGGTATATTTCGCATATTTCGCATAAACTAATTATTTTTATTAGTGCAGAGCAGAGGATGTGACTTCGACTCAACAGAAGTTTACCTAGTGATGAAATCTGTGGAGTACATCATGCTAAAATGCCACAATATAGCTTTCTATAGCAATACTGGGGTATAAAACAATGCTTAGGTCTCACAATATAGAGCATATACTGGAGTATTGTTAAAACTTCACAATGTAGCTGTATAGCCATACGGGTGATATAGTCATGCTTAGGTTTCACAATGTAGCACATACTGGGGATATAGTCATGCTAAAGCTTCACAATGTATCACATACTGGAGATATAGTCATGCTAAAGCTTCACAATATAGCACATACTGGGGATATAGTCATGCTAAAACTCCACAATATAGCACATACTGGGGATATAGTCATGCTAATACTCCACAATATAGCACATACTGGGGATATTTCAATGCTTAAACATCACAATATAGCTGTATAGCACATACTGGGGTATATAGCCATACTCAAATTTCACAATATAGCCATGCCAAAACCTCAGAATATAATATACAACTTGGCTCGTTAAGAGCAATAGCATCCTTCCTGAAGAATATGGCAAAAATGAAATTGACGCATTCTTATACAAACACAGAAAGAGCTTTAGCTGTAGATACGTTTAGAAATTGCGTATCAGCAATGAATAGGAGGCAGCATCGCAGAAGTGGGAGAGATATTTGGCAGCTCTGTAGGTACGCAGGTAAGCTGCTGGCGATACAAACGAAATGAGTTCTACAAATACATGAACTCCGGTGAAAGCGTAATATTGACCCACATAATTGAATAAAGGAAGACTAGCAATAATGGCATACGGCACTGAAAACAATAATCTTGGTTTGGAATGCACTGAGGGATTATGTAACACATATGTTTTGTCATTAAGGCACATAGCTCGCCAGATAAGACCCGTGCTCGACTCCGAACTACCTAGTCGTCCTAGTGGGTCACCGCCACTACATGTAGATCACTGCGCCATACTATTCCAATTACTGGTATAGACTAATTACGCACGTGGCAGTAGGTATACGTTTGTATACAGTGTAGTGTGTGACTTTGTAGGGGCGAAAACAGGTCGTGTTTATGTTCTACACTCACACGTACCGATGTGCACCGAGTACAAGTGTTTCTGTAATTAACGGCTGATCATCGTTATCACGTGACATGACTTTTGCTTGTCATTTAGTTTTATGTCGCTGACGTATCACGCGAGACGTTAGTACGACCACCTGATTTTTCTTTAACAAAAGGAAGGATCTCCTATCCGTGGCGCCATCAAACACACAATTCGCTGATCCATTCACAGGCCATTGCCTCAGTACGTACATACATTCTATTGGTCAAGCGGTATCAAAACATTATCGGACCACACTACAAACACGCTGATTTTGTTTTCATTGGCCAACTGTATATCTAACATCTGATTGTTATGAATAGACACTGCCGCATGCTATGCTCTTTATTACAGACTTACTTATCCACTTAAGTAAATCAATGATAACATGGCTTAAGGAATTAATTACATCCACAAATTATGATGTCAGATTCAGAAGATGTGTTAATAGATGACATATACCATCACAAAACGATTCAATTGAAAAGCCTACAGATAACAACACTGAGATGCTATCATAAACATATATATCAGCGCACCTGGGGCATCGTGACGTCACACATAGTATAAACCCAATCAAGCAAAACAGCTTACGTTCTTACCTCGTAAAATCACAGAGCACATTAGAACAGCGTCTATTTTTAGATTATTTTTTGGCACACGCGCTAAAATGTATGTATACTGACACCTGTGTTGACTTGAAGGTCGCTCACTCTGTTTGATAAGGCCCTATATGCTCCTAAATAGGTAAGGTGGCCACTTGTTCCCTTCCTGAGAGAAGCAGACTCCAAGACTCCGTAGACACCGGCAGGAGGTCAGCTGTGATATTCATGCCCTGCTATTTTTAGGGGAAATATAGGGCATAATTATACCATGGAATTAGATTAGTTATCTAAGTCCGTGATTATACTAAGTTTCATCTTCATTTATTGTGTAAAATAACACACATCTGGGCGAATTAGCAGTCGGAGTGTTTTATATATTAGAACGTGGATCGAGCCCGATGTGTACATTGATACCACAGGTGTAGGGTTTTATTTAATGTGAAATCATACTTTATATGTAGCGTACTTCATCCCTATTAATTAGTCTGCCTCTCACGTTCTTTGTTTAACACCCGGTATCAAGACATATGTATTCTAAGAACAATTCAAAACAACATACCCAGGACACGCTGTGAAGGGAGTGAATGGAGAGTTTTGTTTTTGTACATGTCTCAGAATAGTATACATAGTGTATATTGTAATATTTCCCGATAAACATCCCTAACATTGCGTAGCATTTATGATTTAAAACCAGTAATCTTTCTATACGGAGGTACATTTGGGAGAGACCATTCCATGTCTTTATATTCACCCTCGTCCTTTTGTCATTACCACACTATGTGGTCCAGTGACGCAGTGGATAGCGCACTCACGTCCACCAAAACGGTCGAAGTTCGATTCCCCGATCGGACATGAAAAGTGATGGGGTCACCTTCCTGACAACTTGGGTTTTTCTCTGGGTTCTCTGGTTTCCTCCCATATTAAGACCATCAGCGTCTTAATTTTACGACTAGCAAGAGTGATTGATTGAAAATAGTAAAACTTATTTCATAATTGATATAATGATATCATTCTAATTTATATACAGCTATGTTGTTCGTTAACAGAACAACCAAATCGTTCAATTAAACACAACTGTCCGGTTGTCCGATAAACAGAGCTACTCGGTTGTCAGTTGAATCACAGCTACCGTTTGTTTCTTAAAATGAGCTGGCCGATTGTCCATTTAAACTTAGCTGTCCTATTGTACGTTTGAACAGAACCGTCTATTCATGCAAAAATAAACGATGCTATAACGTTATCGGATTTTGTTTTAACATTATTTTGGAGAAAAAAAACGTTTCTTAAAATTTCACTCCAACATATGTTTGTATTTGATACAGTATCGGATTGCCTCATATATAAATGCAGAAGACGGAGTCGTGATGTCCATGTATCGATACATATCAATCTGAGATCGCTCCTGTTGTCCCGCTGTGTAACCGTATTGGAATGTGGCATTGTTTACTTGATCCACTAACCTACAATACATAGTTTATTGCCTCCATCTATGTCAAACATTACGTTAATACACACGGAGCGTCTCTTTCACACGAACTCTATTTGAAATTAAGTTACAAATGTCAACAGTAGATTATGTGTGATTTGGTATAGAGATAGAACCCGTCTCCTTACAATTGACACTTAGCTACATGTATGGAAATTGGGGTGATTTCGATATACAATGTACATGTTTGTTGGCTTTAAGAAATGAAATACCTGTTCATGTTTACGATGTTACATTATATGGAAAACGGATTTATGTTCCGCTTTGTAATAGATTTGATCCTTATACGATCAAAAAAAGATTCCCTGAAAATGACATTTGCTACTCGATTACAAACAATTCCTCGAAAGTGACACTTTTTACTCGATGTCAACCACGTCTTTCTGATTGACATATTATTTTACAAAAATAATAATTGTTATTTAAACGCAAATTAAAAAAAATATATATAATGCTGCCTTCTATAAGTCATACAGTTTTTGTAATATGCATTGCATCTCTTATATATATATACTGGAGGGGGTAGGGTTGTGAGTAGGGGTTGTGAGTAGGGGTACGGTTAGGGTTTTGGTTAGGGGTTGTGGGTAGGAGTTTTGGATAGGAGTACGGGTAGGGGTGTGGGTAGAGTTGCGGGTAGGGTTTTGGGTAGGGGTTGTGGGTAGGTGTGTGTGTAGGGGGTTGTGGATAGGGGTGTGTGTAGGGTTGTAGGTAGGGTTTGGGGTAGGGGTGTGGGTAGAGGTTTGGGTAGGGTTGTGGGTAGGGTTTTGGGTAGGGGTGTGGGTAGAGGTTTGGGTAGGGTTGTGAGTAGGGGTTGTGGGTAGAGGTTTGGGTAGGGGAGTGTGAAGGGTTTGTGGTAGGGGTGTGGGTAGAGTTTTGGGTAGGGGTTGTGGGTAGGATTGTGGATAGGGTTTGGGTAGGGGTGTGTGTAGGGTTTGGGTAGGGTTTTGGGTAGGGGTGTGTGTAGGGTTTGGGTAGGGGTGTGTGTAGGGTTGTGGGAAGGGTTGTGGGTAAGGGCTGTGGGTAGGGTTGTGGATAGGGTGTGTGTAGGGTTTTTGGTAGGAGTGTGGGTAGGGGTGTGGGTAGAGTTTTGGGTAGGGGTGTGGGTAGAATTTTGGGTAGGGGTTGTGGGTAGGGTTTGGGTAGGGGTGTGGGTAGAGTTTTTGGTAGGGGTGTGGGTAGGTTTTGGGTAGGGGTGTGGGTAGAGTTTTGGGTAGGGGTTGTGGGTAGGGGTGTGGGTAGGGACAGAATATATAGTTGTATATCCGTGTGTACATAGAAGGTGCAGTTACCATGTATGTTGTGTATATCTGTTAACATGTATGTTGTGTATATCAGTTAACATGTATGTTGTGTATATCTGTTTACATGTATGTTGTGTATATCAGTTATCATGTATGTTGTGTATATCTGTTAACATGTATGTTGTGTATATCTGTTAACATGTATGTTGTGTATATCTGTTAACATGTATGTTGTGTATATCTAGGAATGGGGGATATGTAGGCTTTGCAGCATGTTTGTGTAGCGGTTGGGACCACGGGAGATACGTAGAACATCAAAGTTAACTTTGTTTTTCTTTCTGTCTTTTCAGTTGACTCAGTTATTCCAGACTACATGCTTGAACGTGCGAAATTCAATCCACGACCTCGGCGGAAGATCTTCCGAGCAACGTCCAAGAAGTGCTGCAAGATCGGCGTGCGCACAGCGAAGAAAAAACTTTCTTGTACGGTGGATTTAGCTGTGAGAAACAACAATTTCGTCATAACCAGGTTAAAAACAACTGGTTCAAATGCTGAACTAAAAAGATACGGACAGAACCTGGCGAAAAAGATTAACTCCTGCAGGACAGCAGGCTTTGGTAAGGTGTTTGAGAAATGCTGCAAATATCGAGAGGACTTCAGAAAGTCACTTCAAATGTGCAAAGTGACACACCGGAAGCGAACTGATAAGCGGAAATGCAGACGGGACGTGAAACGGCGTCACTTGAGTTACTTATGAGCGTACATTGCCATTTGACAAATGAAATGGAAGCTATCATGGGACATGCACGGCGCCTTGTCCGTCGCACGGGTATTCTATCGTGTGAGTGGAGACAAGAGAAAATGAATTCTGTCCAAAACTTAAACTCAGCTGGTTGAGAGTCAACATAAGTATGCCTCACTATGCTAGAGATACAATGATAGTCAAGCTCTGACGCGAGAACTGCGCATGCTACAATGCGCATCAGACAGTAAATGACAGAGCACGATACGGCCAGGACCAAAAACGTTTTGGAAAGTTTGCGGAAATGCTTGTCTGAGCCTTTGCTGTGTCGAGGGCTCATTGCAATGCAAAGCGTTCTTGTCAATTGAGAAACGTTCCAAAACGTGTTTGCTCATGAACGCAGCACTGATGTTCATAGAGTTGCTGTTAAAATCTCGCGTAAGCTATAAATAGTTTATTTGACTGTTAGAACGAGGCATGTTGTTGTAGTCGCCAATTAATCATTGTACGTCTTCGGTGTATACGTACAACGTCATTCGACGTATAGTGCGAGTGTTTGAAATATACTGTTATTTCATATGTATCTATTTATCATCGCGATCTATTTGGGTGAGAATGTTCGACGTAAACTGTGAGAATACACCGTGTGAGAGTCCATGGAATGTGTTGTGTGGGTCTCGGTTATTCCGTGATGGAACTTTCAATGTATGTTGCTTGCGTTTCCGACTGATGCTGTTAGAATTTCCGACCTATTTTGCCAGATTCCTCGACGTTTCCGACGTATACTTAGTCTTATGTAGATAGAGCTCCCAAAGTACAGCCGTAGTTTCCGATGCATACTACAAGTCTTCGAAATATGTTTTAAGATTCCGAGGTATACTTTTAGAGTTTCCGACCCTTATATTTAGTTTTTCTTAGTTTCCCACGTATTTTGTTAGATATCCTGGCGTATGTTATCAGAATTCCGACAAATAAGGTTTTCCACGGGTACTTTTAAGAGTATTTTAGAGTATATACTAGTCTCAGACATACATATGTCAGAGTCTCTGACGTGTGCTCTTACTTTGTGACTTATACTGTTAAAGTTTTCGACTTGTATTCTTGGCTTCCGACACATGTTCATGATTTTTGACGAATGATACTTGTCGTATTTTTTAATAGGTTCCGATGTTACTATATTGCCATAGCCTTCGACGAATGTTCAAGTTTCTGTCATATGCTGTTGTCATTTTTCGACGTAACCTACTGTTAGACTTTCCGACGTATGCTGTTGTCATTTCCCGACGTAACCTTTTGTTAGAGTTTCCGACATATACTGTTGTCATTTTCCGACGTAACCTATTGTTAGAGTTTCCGACGTATGCTGTTGTCATTTACCGACGTAACCTATTGTTAGAGTTTCCGACGTATGCTGTTGTCATTTACCGACGTAACCTTTCGTTAGAGTTTCCGACGTATGCTGTTGTCATTTACCGACGTAACCTATTGTTAGAGTTTCCGACGTATGCTGTTGTCATTTACCGACGTAACCTATTGTTAGAGTTTCCGACGTATACTGTTGTCATTTTTCCGACGTAACCTTTTATTAGAGTTTCCGACGTATGCTGTTGTCATTTTCCGATGTAACCTTTCGTTAGAGTTTCCGACATATACTGTTGTCATTTTCCGACGTAACCTATTGTTAGAGTTTCCGACGTATGCTGTTGTCATTTTCCGACGTAACCTTTTATTAAAGTTTCCGACGTATAGATTCCCCGACGAAAGTTATCAAGTGTTTCGACATATGTTGTAAGAATAGGTGTCTCCGAGGTAGTCATATGATTGTAAAATGTCGGATTTCCAGCTGATACTGACAGTCCGACCAAGAGGAAGACAATCCCCGACTTTGAGTGCCAAAGTGGGCGAGATAGTCTTGGATGTCTTATAACCAAATATCCGAGCTATTCGAAACAGATTATCGACACGTGCTGTGGAAATCCCCCAATGTATAGTTACTCATGATCAGTCGATGTTATTTCCCGAGGCCGAGTGGGAGAGATTCGGTCGTGACTGCATGTGTAGTACTCTTTAATGTTAGGGTGTTTAATATACAGCTGTACCTTTTGTCAGTATGGGTAAGATGATAGTGGCATCCCATTTGAATGTATGAGAACGTGTTATAAATGTGTGAACGGTCTGTCAAGTGTTGTATCGAGCTGGTAATGAACGATGAGCGAGGAGAAGTGTGGACATCCACAATTATGTCATTTTCTGATCTCCACGCACAAATAATTCCTATGTTAATTTTTAGGAGATGTTGAAATATTATATACATAATTATATAACTATATTAATATGTATTATAAACCCGAGGCAAAGGTAGTGACTGTCGTTGTGTTGTTAATCATTCAGAATATTATTTTATTTCGTATTATGATATGCGTTTTATTTTTACAAATAAACAAATGAATTCCATTGAAATGTACAGCCTTTGTGTTGTTTTTCTAGTTCACCAGGGCCGAAGACCTGGTTAATTTGTGCTGTGGCTCGGCGTCCATTGTCGTTTTCCTTCAAAAGCTATTTGTCCTCCAAAAGCACACACCATTTCCGGGTCTCAAAGTTTATCGCAGTCATTGTTCCACTTTTTCAATATTCATAAGGTTGACTTCAGCCACGTGCCGAAACAATTTGTGTGATTGGCTGGTTTGATTCTGAAAAGTCCAGCCATTTCTTCCCTAAAAAAACCCGGCCAATCACACCTACACATGTCTTTACATGCACATTTAGGTAAAATCACTGACTTGTACATGTGAATCACATGACTTAACCTGTACATAAGGTTGACAATACTTTACCTGAAAAGTAGATCACGTAACTTTAACAGTAGATGACATGACTATACCCTGTAATTTTAGATCAAACGATTCTACATGGACATCTAAATCACATTATTGTTCCTGTATTTCTTGATCACGTAATTGTACACATACGTCTAGATAGCGTAATCGTTCAACTTCATGTACTTCTAGATATCGTGATTTTACCTGTCATCTTGATCACGTATCCTGTACATCTTAATCACGTCACTGTACCTGAGCATTTACATAACGAGAGAGTACAAATGTACCTGGACATCAAGATCACGTGATTAAACCTGTCATCTAAATACGTAACCTTTCTTATAAATCTACATCAGGTAAGTGTACATGTCACATGACTGTTACTGTACTTTTTAGATTATGTAACTTAACTTGTACTTCTAGACCGTGTAACTATATGTATGCAGAAATAGATCACGTGACTGTAACATCTGTAACCTTGATTACATGACTGCACATGAACATCCAGGTCACGTGACTATGACTGTACGTTTAGATCACGTAGATGTACAATGGAATATGTACTTCCAGATCTCATGTATGTAATTTATACTTCCGGACCACATAGATGTACAAAACTATATGTAATTTTTGGGCATTTAGATCTAGTATGTACTTCTGGACTACATATATATTATATGTACCTCTGGATCGCAAAGATCTCAAATGTAATTCATCTGGGAATCATGACTGTACGATCCATACCACATAGTTATAGTGTCGTCCCGGATGTTGTAGTCCCGGATGGTCTGTCCTACCCTGTTTTAACTGTCCGTGTGGTTATATTTGTAGTTACGGTCATACAGTTACACCTATACCCCTGGAACACCTGCTTGTTTTCCCTAGTGTTAAGGACATGTATGTTGCTTTTCCTTTTTATCTATATACAATGTATCTTTCTTTATTCGTTCTATCATGAATTGCTTCGGATTGCACGTAAGGTATATATATTCGAAATGAAGTGTATGAGTGAGGGGCGTCTCACTTATCAACAATACAATGAGATGCAATATCTATTCCTCGTGATATTTTCTGCTATAAATTAATGTGCTTTATCACAAATAGAAAAGGTCATATAATTTTAACTGAACACACGCATTAAATTATAGATTTGAATAATTCAGTACATTTTCTCACGTTTTTGAATGAAACATTTTTCATTTCAGTGACGATATGTGCTGCTGTATGTTTGCTGGTGTGAACAGGATATTATACAAACCACACCCAGAAATTGAGAAATTCCAATTTCATTTTTACGTGCTTTTAATGTTTGCAACCTACACCAGTCACAGTTGTCTAAAATTACCTACAGGAAATGAAATTTGTTAATTGAATGTATTAAAAGACGGGCTATGTGCAGCTGAAGTGTCGTGGGCGTAGGTCTCTCTGTCACCGTGTCCTTGATTCACCGCTTCCTTGTCACAGATGTAGGTAAGTGTGTCGTCTTTTCAAGCTCAGATACGGGGTCGTTGCTAGTGATGGACCGGCGCTGTATACGCAGTAATCACTATTCAGTATGTACACCAAAAACAGCACTGGCAGTCAGGTGTAACGTTTGAGATTATTAATAGGCATGAACCACTGTCCTGGCCGGGTATTGAACGTTGCTGACTCAGTATTTCTATTGACCATCGGCCTTGGTCAACAGGTCAAGGAATTGTTGGTCAAAGGACAATGACCGGCCACGTAATACGATGATATTTGCTTGACTGGTCAGGGCTGGACATGTATAAGCCAAGTGAGACGTCTAGAGGACCGATACCATGGAGTGACCATGAATTTTTCGAGCAATATCGCACTAATTATATGCATATACATATATCTCATTGTTTCCATACCTGTACATTGTATCTCGATATTTCATATTCTTCGTCTTCCTTCGTCACGATGATTTAAACTTGTATAACTGAATTTGTATGCCATAAATCTGCAAACCGATATCTCGACGTTGTGGATTAATTTAGTATACCTGGCTGTACATCAAGGTTTATGATGTGTACACCGGTATCTCGATATTTTATAATAGTATACCAGTGTCTTCGTGTTTTCAGTTCCTCGATGTTTTAAATTCATATGCCTGTAACTGAATTTCGTGATTTTGCACTGGTATCTGTATTTACAGACGGGTATATCGATGTTTCCTATATATACTCAAGTATAACGATGTTTTAAAATTTAATATCCGTATCTAAATGTTAAAGATGTATATTCTGGTATCTCGATGTTTGGATTTTATATACAGGTATGTCGATTTGTCAGATTTGTATACCGGTATCTCAGTGATTTATATAGCGAATAATTATATTTTGTAATATTTACCGGTATCTCGATGTTTCGGATATACATACCGATATCTCGAAGTTTTATATTGAATTACTGTATGTCGATGTTTAAGATTTGTTAACTGTTGTCTCGATGCATAAGAGTATCTTGACTTTTAGGATTTGTATAACTGCATCTCTTCGTATTAGATTTGTACACAAGCACATCAATGTTTTAGCTATACTTGTATGTTAGTAGGTATCTCAATGTTTTAGCTATGTTAGTAGGTATCTCAATGATTTTGCTGTTTTAGTAGGTATCTCGATGTTTTAGCTATGTC